GACCCGCCTGGACAAGGTCCTGTGCAGCCTGCTGTAGGTGACCCTGCTTCAGCAGGGGGGTTGGACTAGATGACCCACAGAGGTCCCTTCCAACCCCTACCATTCTGTGATTCTGTGAAAGGCTCGAGGGTCAAGATAAGGACAGGGGGAGATCACTCACCAATTACCGTCATGGATGAAACATGCTGAACTTGGGGAGATAAAGGGAGTTTAATTCATCACAAATCAGAGTAGGATAGTGAGAAAGAAAGCCAGATCTTAACACACCTTCCCATGACCTCTCCCTTCTTCTGGGCTCACCTTCACTCCCATTTCTCTCTCTCCTCCCCCCGGGCAGCACAGGGGGACGGGGAATGAGGGTTACAGTCAGTTCATCACACACTGTCTCTGCTGCTCCTTCCTCCTTGGGGGAGAAGTCCTCACACTCTTCCCCTGCTCCAGTGTGAGGTCCCTCCCACGGCAGACAGTTCTCCACAAACTTGTCCAGCATGAGGCCCTTCCCAGGGGCTGCAGCTCTTCACAAGCTGCCCCAGTATGGGTCCTTCCCGTGGGGTGCAGTCCTTCAGGAACAGGCTGCTCCAGCGTGGGTCCCCCATGCAGGGTCGCAAGCCCTGCCAGCAAACCTGCTCCAGCATGGGCTCCTCTCTCCACAGGTCCTAGCAGGAGCTTGCTCCAGCATGGGCTCCCCACAGGGTCACAGCCTCCTTCGGGCATCCACCTGCTCCGGTGTGAGGTCTCTTCCATGGGCTACAGGTGGAGATCTGCTCCACTGTGGACCTCCATGGACTGCAGGGGCACGACCTGCCTCACCATGGTCTTTATCACGAGCTGTAAGGGAAGACTCTCTGCTCCGGTGTCTGGAGCACCTCCTTCCCCCCTCCTTCTTCACGAGCTGGCTGGCACTGGCTTTATCAGACATGGGGGAAGCTTCTCGCAGCTTCTCACAGAAGCCACCCCTATAGCCCCCCGGCTACCAAAACCTTGCCATGAAAACCCGTAACACTTATTGAATCACGGTAAGGTGCTATTTGTCCGTATTCTCTGCAAGAATGAGAAGAAAGTGCAGAAGAACTAAATGACTGTAACAGAACATAAATGATATAAAGCACATGGGTTTTGGTGTCAACCTGAGGAGTATATCCTACTGCAAAGTTGGCTTGGCTAAATGCAGAGGCATAAATATAATTCCAGGAGTAAACAACTGCCCTGCATATCTGCTACACCAAATGTTAGGTGTGCTACAGTCACTCCTTGCTGCCTGTATCTCATGTTTGCGTACCCTACTGTTGACTAGCATTTTAAGTTGTAAGAAAATGTTACTACAGAGTGTTAATTTACAAAAGGATTTCTTTAGCACTGGCCAATGGCCTTGGGCACAGCAGGTAGCCAGAATGGGGTAGTTTGATACATTTCACATACCTTTCAGAGCCAAGCCAAGGAAAAGGTCACATTATTGAGCCAAGTCCTGACTTAGCCGGGATCTTCCTTCCTCACTGGCATATTTCTGTTGGCTTATACATGAGAGGTTCCACTTCGGCGAAGTGCTGGCAGTTTCTGCACAGAACAGAATGGAAGCTACTTCCTACGCATGAGCTGTCTCAGAGACTTTGGGGGGATTCAAGAAAGGGGTGAGTCTGCTGCTGGAGATGGAGCAGTGGGGAAGGCAAAAAAAAAAAGCGTGCTTTTTGCCTCTACTCCTAGTTCTTGTAGTGCCTAGGTTGTAAAACTTGAATCTAAATTCTTTCTTTTATTTCTGAGGAGCTGATTAAGTGGAAATAGCCATAGTGTTTCTAAAAATGAATCAGACTTTCATAAAACGCAAAGCCATTCTCATGCCTCATTTCAACTATTTTATTTGTACACTGTATTGCTGTTATATCCACATGGAAATGTTTATTGTATTTAGCAAATGCTTGAAAAAGTATTTCCAAAGAGACAGTTACAGGGTTCATTGTGTAAGAATGTCTTTTCTTTAACAGCCATTACACTAAGTAGTCCAATAAGCCAGCCATTTATAAGCCATTATGACAGTTAAGAAGTCGGCAATAACAACCAGCTAGGCAAATAGTGAGGTCTGCATTAACCCTCCAGCCCAGCAGTCACCCAGAATCTGTTTTAGATCAAAAGGAAACCAACAAAAATCTTCCACGTAACAGTAAATAAGTCCAGCAGATCCTAAGCAACTAGGATCAAGACAGATCACACTGCAGCGTGAGCACTAGCTGAGCAATAGCGACATTCATTTTGGTTTCATGCACTTTTTGTACCAAAGATCTAGCTACATAGCAGAGTGCCAGGCTCAGCGAGCAGATTTGGCTCTACGCATCCCTACTTCTGCAACAAAACTCATCTGATTTCTACTTCCTCCTGGACCACACTCGTGCAGATTTTCTCTCCAGCAGTCCTTTGACACAAGAAATGGAATATTTATAATGAAGATACGGTCTTTGCAGTTTTAAGACTCCAAAAATCTCAGCCACAAAGGAATGCATTCAGACATTCAAACATAGGCCTTTAGTTGGAGTTAAAATAATTTGAATTCCAGTGTCTGCCTGACATATATGTTGTTCTAAATTCATAAAACTCCTGTTCAGAAGCCCCTAAAAGGACTGTGAAAGAGATCCTTTAAAGTAAAATCTGTAGCACAGCACAGTGCTGCTTTTTCTTTTTTTTTTTCCCTGTATAAAAGTTAAACACACCCTGTGGAACCATTTTAACAGAGTTTTTCTTTGGGGGAAAGGTGACATGTTTAGTGTAAATAAAGACTTTTTCAAACTTAGAAGGATGAAGAAAGATGTTGTGAGCCCAGCAGCCCCACGGTGCCTTTAGACAAACGCTGCAGTCACTCCAGGGCTGAGCAGCAGCCCACAGTGTTTATTGCTGTTAGCCTGGCTGTGGGTATTTGCTCTTGCCGGAGGAAGTGAATGGTTGATGTCACTTGATGATTGAGGCAAAAGTCAAAATAAGGAATGGACCTCTACAGGCTAAAAAAGGAAAGGCAGTGAACAGCAGTTGCACAAAAAGCATGGAGTCAGAAGTCACGCTGGCGTGTTTGCAGTAAGCTGAAATTCAGTGTGGTCTAGAGAATACAAAAAAGGTGGTAAAAAAGTGAGAGAGATGATGCAAGAAGATTGACAGAGCCTAATAGTAGAATTATAGAATGCTTTGGGTTGGAAGGGACCTTTAGAGGTCATCTAGCCCAACCCCCCTGCAGTGAGCAGGGACATCTTCAACCAGACCAGGTTGCTCAGAGCCCCGTCCAGCCTGGCCTGGAATGTTTCCAGGGATGGGGCCTCCACTGCCTCTCTGAACATTTGAAAGATGGCAGAGGTGCCAGCTGTGGAGTTGTGCAGTTGTCCTGCTGACATTGCTTCTAAGGTTGACCTGCTCTGAAGCACGATTGCCACTTGTCTTAGATAATTGTGACTCACAGGTTTGGTCTGTGCCTAGATGGGACCGACAGTGTAGCCTGTTACCAAGCTTTTTTAAAATAACTTATCATAGATGCCGCTCATTTATTTAACAGTTGTTACTTGTGTCACGGTACAGATGTATCTTTATGCTGAAGGTGATATGAAGCGTTACCACAGATTGTGTGATGGTGTGGCTGAATAGTCCGGGCGTTTTAAATCTGGGAGGGAATGCTTGAGAAGTGAGAAGGAAGGGTGCTGATGGGCGATCAATCGAATTGCATTGCATTTGTTACACACATTAAAATGGATATGGTGCCAGTGCCCTTATTCCATGAAGTGATGAGCCGAAGAAGATGTGGGAGATTTGCTAAACCTAGTGGGATAGACCCAGGACAAACTACTCCAAGAAACGGATCCACGACATGGAAGGGGCATTTTCTGCATCCTGTCACTCAAGGTGAGAGAAAACTGGTCATGGCACTGATCCAGTCTGTATAAAATTTCTGTTTTCAGTAACATAAAATCTATAAAAGCATTACCGGCACACTTTTGACCTCAAAATCATTCATGCAACTGAATTTCCAAAAAGTCCAGCCTTCAAACATTGATTCTGGAAAAATAAAAATTGGCAAAGTCCTGAAAGGTCACTAAGTACTTTTCCAATGCCATTGATTTCATGAGAAAGGATCTCAGACGCTAGGGTGATGGGGGCACTAAAATGTGTTGGAAGACACCACCGTGTAGAAAAATGTGTTACTGGGCGTGGGTGTTTCATAGTTATCTCCAGTGACCGAGATGACGT